TACTTATAATTTAAATTTATTAATTTAATTAATTAATAGTATAAAAATGTTTATTATTTTTTTAACAAATTCATATAAATTGAGAATTGTGATATCTGCGAGGATTTATTATCCTACACTATAATGCACTTAATTTAATTTTCTACGAAGATTCTTAAAATCTCACATAAGACTTAAATATTTTATTGATTTAAATTATAAAAAGAGAGTTAATTTTAATGGTGAGTCATTAGAACCCATCTTTAATACACAAGTTGGATATTCATACCTGCAAAATCTTATTAATTTCACGATAGAGGATTTTTTTATAGGGATTTTAATTTTCTCCTGTGATATGGGTTATTCAAAAACACATTCAATATATAATCAAGATTTTTAACTTAACGGAACTAATTGTAAAAGTGTGTCTAAGTTCTAATTATAGGTAGCCAAAATCAAATCTGTAGTGATATATCCATCACCTTTAACTACAGTATCTTATAACAAGCTATGCATACATTGAGGCTGAGAAATGATATAATTTAAGGCTGCATGAAGTTATGAAAACTTGTATTAGAACTTGTGCTAAATGAAATTGGTGGATCTTTCTGCAAGTCGTTAAGCTCTTTCAAGTTGCGTTTTGAAGCCATATCACTTCCTCCTTCCGATGGACCGAATCAAAACTTGTACATTGCTGGCAAAACCTTTGGTGCATGCCTGAAGGTGCCATTGATGATGATGACCCTCTCTTTCCGTACAGATCCCTCATCTTCTATTCTCCAGCCTCGAACACATGTACTTTTCCTTGGTCTTGAATCCAGCTCCTCCCTTCTCTTTTCTTCACCTTACCATCTTTTTTCCGCCATCTCACTTCTGCAACATCATCCCACCTTCCTGTAGCTGATAACACATTAGCTAAAATAACATAAGCTGTGTCATCGTGTGATTCAATCTCCAATAACCGTGTTGCCATAGACTAGGCTTTGTCAGCTGCACCGTGAATAACACAGGCTGATAGCCAAGCTCGCCACACAGCAGCATCTGGTTTAAATGACATTCAGTGCTGTTCTTTCTCTCATTCTCCATCTCGCTTCCAGTCCTAGCTCTCTCCTCTTTCACTCTCCGTCTCTCTCTCCTTCATGCTGCGTCTATGTTCATACTATCACAACTCTCTCATTCTCCGTCTCTTTCTCCTTTTTGAATCCTGTTCCAGTCGTTCCTCCTCTCTCACTCTCCGTCTCTCTCTCCTATCCGTCCCTAGTTTCTCTTCTCTCAGTCTCTCCCTTGCTCTCTCCCCAGTTTCTGTTCTCTCGGTCTCTCCCTTGCTCTCTCTCCTTTCGGTCTCTCTTTTTCTCCAACCTCTTCTCTGTCTCGCTCTCATTCCTTTGCTGTTGAGTTTTTTTTCTGTGTTGCTTCTGTGCTCATACTGTCAGTTCCTCTCCCTCTTTTTGTCTGGTTTGAGTTCTCTTTATTGCTGAAGCTACCCTTTTTACTGTGCACGTCTCCTTCTTCCTTTTCTTCCTTCCACTTGCGTGCATACTGCGTTTCTGCTCTGCTTTGGTTTTTTTTTTTTTCTTTTCTGCCCTCTATTCCTCTGCTCTGTCTTCCTTCGTACATGCATGTGTTTTCTCTCCTTCCTTTCTGTGCAGCCGAAAGGAGATTAGGGCCAAAGCTCATGTCTGCTTCTCTGTATCCGTCTCTTCTCTTTGCCTGTGCGAGTCCATGTGTGCGTGTTCTGCTCTTTCGTTTTCTTGCTCTGCCCTTTATGTTTTCTGCTCTGTCTTTCTTCCTTCTTGCGTGCATGACTAGCGTATCTGCTCTGTGAAGCTCCTGCGTGGCTATATTTTTGTGCATGCGTCTGCTCGTGTTTCTGTTTTTTTTTTTTTTTTTCCTTTCTGCGTTTTGTGACTGGCGTTCTCTGCTCGTGTTTCTGTGAAAAGCCTGTAAGGCTGTGATTGAACGCTGATGGATCAGCGTTTCATCCAGCCTATTATACCTATATTATTGTTTTTTTTTTAACTTCTAATTTTTTTAAATTAGATTAACACATATATATTTTTTAAAAAAATAAAAATAAGATTTAAGGAAAGAAAAGTTAACTCTCAAAAGTTGACTCCTAATATTTTTAAATAATTGGGATAATTTGAGAGAAATTTTTAAAGATTTAAACATGATTATTTTTTTTAATTTTGTTAGATTATTATTTTTTTAAAATATAATTCATAGAAGGATTAAATTTTATTTTTTATATTTTTATATTTTTTTAGTTGAATTTATTATTATTTTTATAAAATATGCCCGAATAAGATACAATGTTGGCAATAGGTGTTTCAACACCTATCATATAAAGTCCACCATATATATGAAGGGTGTTTGAAACACCTATAATACATATTATATATATGAAGGGTGTTTGAAACACCTATAATACATATTATTATTAATTTTTATTTTAAAAAAGTCTCAAATCTAAGGCATTATATGACAAGTTTGTAAATACCCATTATATATTCTAAAATATATAAATGATGAGGGGTTTAAAATACCCATCATTTATTGTGTGATCATCACCCATCTCACCAATACATGACGTGTTTTCTTTTAACTATCAATTTTTTTGACATTTTATATCCAAAATTCTATAGTAGTGAAATAATAACAATAAAAATTTACAAGTAATTGGCTTGAAATTTATGATTAATTGTCATATATTCATAACTGATTCTTCGTATTGAATCCCAAGTGGCTTTTCAAAATTTAATAAGTAATCAATTTATGTTCTAAAGAACCAAAAATTCAAATATTGGTCTTAAGATTCACAATTAACTCCCATAAATCTCAAGTTATTTTTCTATGAATCAAAAATTGCGTCTCTTAATTTTTCAAATAATTTGTCTATACATTAATAAGTATAAACATTTATAAGTAATTGGCTTGATATTCATAAGTGACTACAATATATTCACGACTGACTCTGTAGTGAATCTCAAGTGACTTTCCAAAATTTCATGACTAACTTCAATGTTCAATCAACTATTTTCTACTACATTCATTTGTAAGGGTAATTTTGTAAATTTATATATATTTTTGATTTATATATGTTTTGTAAATTTACATTCATTTAACTTTTAATTGGCACAATGTTACCCCAATATTTTAAAAATGGTACTTTATATTAATGTTTATTCATTAATACTGATTGTTAGTTGAACAATTCTAACCAATATTAAAGGACAATTTTGTTTCTAAAGTAATTTCAAAAAAATCCTAAACTTTCAATTGATGTAATATTTTTATTTTATTAATGTACTCAAATAAAAAAGATATAACAACTCATTATCAATGCAAATATAAATCAATAGCAAATAAAGACTTGATCGAAGTTATCCATAAACATCATAGACTCACTCAAGGTGAAAGGGATAAATCAAAGCAACTTGGATTGAATTTTTGTGGATTGTGGCAAGGTCACTCTATCACATACAATATTCAATTACGTATTTAAGCTATGAGAAAAGAGCTCTACTACTTGCCATTTAATAAGAATTTTATTAAGGCGTCCCTCATGACTCGTCCTTCATGTGAGAAAGGCAAATCAAAAACTCAGTATACCAATTTCTCATTCAAAAAAAAAATTCAGAAAAAATTGTTTTTTCACTCTCTAAATTATTCAACTAATTGATAATGGTTGTCAAAACATTACTATAAACAACATTGCACCATTTAAACTTTTAGAGTAACATTTGTGCTATCGAAAGTTAAGGATACTGATTACGTATAACTGAAAATATCCAGAATAAATTTCCATTTACTGCTATTGAAAAAAAGACAAACTGACAGTATATACTTAGGTTCAAACACTTGGAGCCTTCTAATTTTTAGGCTAGTTCCTTCCCTCCATATAAATAAATCAATTTATAGTTATTTTTAAGTAAAATACTCTATTAAATGAGAATAAATATAAAAAAAATAAAAATAACTTACATTTTTAATGGAAGTAATAAATGATAATAAATTTAAGAAAAAATATAACTTTTGGTCCTTACATTTTGTTTGTATTTTGTTATAGGTCCCTACATTTTTTTTAAATATTCTGGATCCCTACATTTTTATTTTTTTCTGTATTTTAGGACTTTCTAAAGTCATCAAAAAATAAAAATATATGGATCTAGAACACTGAAAAAAGTGCTAGAATTTATAGCAAAACACGAATAAAGTGCAAAAATCAAAAATTATGTTTTTTCTAAATTTAAAGAAAAATATAATTTTTAGTTCTTGTACTTTGCTCGCATTTTATTATTAGTCTTTACATTTTGTTTTATATTGTAGGTCCTTAAACTTTTATTTGTCAGTATTTTAAGTCCATCCAAGAGTGTAAAAACCTAAAATATCAAAAAAAAAAATGTAGGAACCAATAGCTAAATAAGAGTAAAATATGGGAACTCAAAGTTATATTTTTCCTAAATTTAATTCCAAGATATGCTTTTAGAATTAATGATGAATAACACGACTATGATATTTAGATTTATATGTGCGTAGTATGAGAAACATATTTAATTTTATAAAAAATATCAATAATAATTTTTGAAAAAAAAATTAAATTTAACTTTGGTCTTTTAAATATTAAAGTTATTTGAAATAATTGACAAGTTTTACTTAAAATAATTTATTATTAATATCATCATCATAATATATAGAGTTAAAGTGCAACAATACTAAGTACCTGTTTGGTATCTTGTTTTCAGAACTGTTTTTTGTTTTCTAGAGTAAAAAAATAAAAAAAATTATTTGATAAAGTGTTTTTAGGGAAGCGTTCCTGAAAACAAAAAACCACAATTTTGTTCTCAGAAATAGAAAAGCAAAAACAACTTTTGAATGTTTTGAAGTTATTGTTTTACAAAACAAAGGTGAGGCGGAGAACTACCTGTTTTCATTAATGGCAAGCTTGTAAATAATCCAAATTTTTCTCAACCCTAAATGCCTCTATTTCTCATCATTCTTTAGACGGCTTCTTCCTCTGCTTCATGCTTCGGAGTTCTGACCATCGAAGTTCAGGTGTAGTCACAGCTTGCTTCATCTTCTTCGTCTGAGAGAACCCAGCTCATCGACTTCATGCTCGTGACTCAGGTGTGTCCTTTCTTCTTTCTTTCTTCGTTTTGCTCTGTTTCTTTATGCCTTTTTGTTCGATAAAGTTGTTTTGTTCTGATGCTTTACTAATTTTTTTATTTTGTATTTGTTTTGCACTTTTAAGTTCTGGTTGCCTTTCCTCCACTTCATGCTCTAGTTTGTTTGTTTCTACTCTTTTATGGCTGCACTACACCTGAGTTGTATTTGACTGATTCTATTTCTTTCTTTTGTCTTTTTGCCTTGTTTACGAATGAATAGAATATTTCAACTACTGCACTTGTGGGGACCGACTCTTTTCCTTCTTTATTAATGAATAAGAACAACTTTGTTTATTAATAAATTGATGAAAATCTGTGCCTTTTTAGTTATTTTTTAGTTTAGCATAAGGCATTTGAACTTTAACATAGAATCATTGATTTGGGTTAGTTTTAATTTTCTCTAGCACAGGGAATTTGAACTTTAGCACATATTCATTGATTTCTTTTACTTTTAATTTTCTTTAGCAAAGGGTATTTGAACTTTAGAATCTAACCTTAACAAAATTGCTTTTCTTATTCATTTTATTTGTACTGGACTTGGTATTTTTTTGCTAACATATTATATATATTAATAGATGGCAACTAGTGAGCATGTTGAAAATACAATTTGGCCTAAGCATATTATTAAATGCTTCATTGATATCATGGTTGAAGAAGTTACCAAAGGTAACATGAATAACGGTGTGTATTCTCCCAAAGTTTGGAAAAGTATGCTAGAGAACTTGAATGCTAAATGTGGACGGTCTTATAGTTTGAAACAAGTCAAGCAAAAGTTTAATAGGTTGCGTACAAAGCATAGATAATTTTCTCAACTGCTACAGCACACTGGATTTGATTGGGATGCTGAAAGCAACACTGTTACTGCTGATGAGGAAGTTTGGAAGAACTATATTGTGGTATGTAATCATATGAATTTTATTTAGTCTATATAATATTTATATATGTTATTAATTCACATGAGTATATGTATGTAGGTACATCCTGAGGCTACACAATACAAGAAGCAAGGACTAAAACATTACAACCTATTAGGTGTAATTTTTAATAGAAGCACCGCCATGGGTGTACTCCATCATTCATCTACACAAGATCCACCTAATTCTGATGATGAAAACAATCTTGAAAATGAATATATAAATACTGGAGTTCATATAGACCTTAGTAGGGATGACGATGTTGGCCCAGAAACAATAGAGCGTGTAACTCATAGTGGAAAACGTGTTGTTGAAGTCTCTAATAGCAAGAAAAGGAAAGAATATAGGTCTAGTCAAATGGGAGATGCAATTCAAGCATAGGCTGAAGCATCTAAAGCAAGGGCTAAAGCTCAAATTGCTAAGGCTGAGAGGTGGAGAGCAGGGAGTGTTGAAAGTAGTAGTACTGGAGCTTCATCATCTGAATATTTAGTTGTCAATTGTATTGCTGCCCTTGATGCCATTGATGATGTCCCTGATGATATCTATGCCAAAGCAATGGAAAAATTTACTCAAGGCATTTATAGAGAATTATTTATGACAGTGTGTTTAGAGAGAAAGAAGGCATGGCTGTATAATTTAAAGTGATGTATGTGGGTTGATAGTTTTTATGTTAGGTGGTGAATCTTTTGTTTCATGAACGTGCTTTTTGGTGCTTTTCATGTTAATTTCTTGAACTATTTTGTTGGTCTTTTTAATGTTAATTCAATGTGATGTTACTAGTCTATGTTTGTTTGTGCACTTTTTATTCATTTCTCTTTTTTTCATGGTTTGTATTCTACAGTTCACTGGTTTTAATCAGAATGGACGTAGATGATAACTCATCAATTGATTGATCTATATCTTCATCAGGGTCAAGCGAAGAAGACCATGAGATAGAAGAATTAATGTCAATTGAAATGTTATATGAGTATGAAAGTATGTTTCTCAATAAGGTCCCAGTCCGTACATCTGCACTAACAGGTCAAGCATTTGTTAATGAGCTCATTAATGGATGCAATTACCAATCCTGAAGTAAATTTTCCATGGCCCCCTAGAGGTATATTTTAACATAAAATGTTTTTTATATGTTATTTGCTCAATTATAAACTTCAAAAATTTTGTTTTTGCCACATATAGGTAAATATTATCTTGTAGATTCCGGATATCCTTGCAGTGGTGGGTTCCTTCCACCATACAGAGGAGAAAGATACCATGCATAAGAATATAGAGGTAGAGGCCGCTAAGCTACAAGTCAAAGAGAGCTTTTCAATTTTAGACATTCTTCATTAAGAATGACGATTGAGCGTTCTTTTGGAGTCTTGAAGGCTCGATTTCCCATTCTCAAGTTAATGCCACAATACAAGCCTTCAAGACAACGCCTTATTGTGGTGGCATGTTGTGCTATTCACAATTACATATGTAAATGGAGTCGTCGTGATATGTTATTCAATCAATGGGAGAATATGGATTCTGAACTAATGGAAAATTTATCAGTGGAAGGAATGAATGAAAACATAAGTAGAGAAGGTACAAACTATAATCTAGAAAACTTGTCAAGATTATCTGAAGAAAGTGCAATAGAGATGACAATGTGATCATATTGCATCTCAAATGTGGCATGATTTTACCACTCGTCCTAGTTAAGTGTAGCCTTGTGTTTCTTAGATCAATATTTTGGAGACCTTGCTTAAAACAATGTTACTTTAAGACTTGATTTTGTTGTTAGACTTTTATATATTTCAATGTTATTTTTTTATTGATTCTATTCAAATTTTATTACTAATTAATTCATAGTTATAATATAATATTAAATAAATATAAAAATTATGTTAATATTAATTATATAAAACAAGTTATCAAACAAGTTTTTTTTTTGTTTTTTGTTCTCAAAACATATTTTGAGAACAATTTATCAAACAAGTTTTTATATTTTTTTGTTTCCAGATATAGTTTTCTAGAACAATTATTCAAACAAGTTTTTTTATTTTTTTGTTTTCAAAACATGTTTTACAGAATACCAGTTCTCAAAACAATAAAACAAAAATCGTTCCAAACAGGCCCTAAGTTGCTAACATCCTTAACTTATGTATAGTGTGATTTTACTCATCAACCCTAAAAAATGATTCAAAAATCTTTTATTTGAAATGGAAGCCAAATTTTTGTTAAGTAAAGGCTTTGTAGTCTTTTACATGCCATACCACGTGTAAATGAGTTAGTATAAAAGTGTTATTTGCATTTTGAGTTCAACTTTGAGCCATATCAATAATGGCTGAGCTTGAGAAAATTCACTATTTATTTTAATGCATGAGGGTTTATGGGCTTAAGTATTTAAGAATTGAGCTCATAAGGAAGATGCCAATATAAAGGCAAAACAAATAGCTCTACTTATTTCTACCAAAAAAAAAAAGCTCTACTTATATATAGAGATTGAAAGGAAGTATTTGAATATTTAAAAAATAAATAATTTAAAATTTAAAATTAATTTTGACATATATAATAAATATTTGGATATATTTTTATAAAACTATAATTTTAGGTATATAATTGATTTGGATATTTTTTTAAAAATATTATTTTAAGTATATAATTGATTTTAACATACAATAGATGCTTTTCAATATATTTTTATAAAATTATAATTTTTACCACTAAAATTGATTAAAGAGATTATCAAAACAGCCCCTAAATAAGTTAATAGCAAGGAATATGAACAGAACAAATGTTTTGTAAATTTTATTTTGCACAGTGAAGGAGAGGCCATTAATATATGGATTTATTTCTGGTATTCTTATTGGGTAATGGGTACTTTATTCTGGATTCTTCACGCATCTGAAAGTGGTAAACACGCAGAAATCATTGCAGGTGGTGAAAGGGACTTGACTTCGTGCGCTCATGCCACAAGTGACTATTTAAATTTAAAGCATTATTTTATTTTATATTTATTAAAATAATTTTTTTTGTTTGATCAACAATTAAAATAAAAATTTATGAATATTATAAAATAATTTTAATAAATTTTTTTATTTTTAACATGTAAATGACATATTTTAATATTAAAATTTTTATAATTATTATATATTATTTAAATATATTTTATATAATTTAGATTAATATTAAAGTATATGAAGTATATTTAAATAATTAATATATAATAATTATAAAAATTTTAATATTAAATTAGACTGTCTAAATTAAATTTAAATCAGATTAAAAATAATTTTAATAAATATAAAATAAAAAATATATAATAACTTTTTAAATTCGAACCATTCACAGTGCTCGTCATTCTCAGATGCTCATCCCGCCGATTGCCGAAGATCAGCCCTGAATCTGGTGAAAGTGGGTTGCATTGCTGTTAAAAAGACTCAAAGTAGAAAGTCTGTCAATTAGCAAATTCATGGTTGGTCTCAACTCTCAAACGAGGAACACGACAAAACTGACCCCCGAATTAAACCGCCTCCGCGTCTTCAATGAAAATTCTGGTTTATTAAATAGACTTGAAGATTCTGCACTCACCAGTTCTCGGTATAGCTAGGCCATCTATCTGCTAACTGCCATGATGTTTTCCAATCTGATAATACTCTTCATCTCAGCTTTTCCTTTACTGTGTTCTTCTTCTTCCTCCATAAATTTGCTGTCGGTGGAGAATCCAGAACACGTCATCAAATCAAGAAATGGAAATTTCACTGCTGGGTTCTATCATCTATGGCGTCGGTGAGAATGCCTATGCCTTCGCTATCTGGTTCACTGAAGAACCAGCTCGTCGCCAAAATCTGACTGTCATTTGGATGGCGAATCGTGACGTGTTGGTGAACGGAAAAGGCTCAACACTTAACCTGCGTAGCAGTGGAAATCTAGTGCTGAACGATGCAGATCATGTCGATGTTTGGGCCACGAATACGACGTCGTCGAGGTCTCCACAGTTGATTCTTAAAGATAATGGCAATCTTGTTCTTCTTGAACACCCTAATCATGTTCTGTGGCAAAGTTTTGATTTTCCGACGGACACGCTCGTTCCCGAGCAGAGGCTTACCAGACGCACTAGCCTTGTCTCCTCCAAAAGTCAGACTAAATCCTCTTCTGGTTTCTATAACTTACACTTTGACGATTATAATATTCTTCGTCTTGTCTACGATGGTCCCAATCTATCGACTATTTATTGGCCATCTCCTTGGAAAAACCCATGGCAAGCTGGTAGATCTCCTTACAACGAAAGTCGCATTGCGTTTCTCGATACGCACGGTGCTTTCATTTCAACTGATAACTTTACTTGCAGGACATCAGACTATGGTCCTGTACTTCAAAGACGATTAACCATTGATAGTGATGGTAACATCAGGATCTACAGTCGAAGAAACTGGACAGAGCAATGGTATGTTTCATGGCAAGCTTTTTCTGCGGGTTGCAAGATTCATGGCATTTGTGGAGAAAATAGTTTCTGCAAATATGAACCATATTTTGGTCGAACATGCTTATGTCTTCCTGGTTACAATTCAGGGATGAAATCGACGAGTCACTTGGGTGCGAACCAGAGTTCAATTTGTCTTGCAACCCAGAAGATTCTCGCTTTGTGTATATGCCTAATGGCGATTTCTATGGGCACGACCAAGGGGACTACCGTAACATCACGTTTAAGGAATGTAAGAATCAATGTTTAAAGTCATGTGGCTGCAAAGGTTTCCAATATACACATGATCGTAATTGTTACCAAAAGTTCCTTTTGGTCAATGGCAATCTTTCCCCTGCTTTCAAGGGAGGTTTCCACTTGAGACTCCCCAATTCAAGCTCATTCACTCTTCCAGAACCCAATGCCAAGTGTGACCTTGTTAAGTCTGTAAAGCTTGAGAGAGTCTATATCTCAAGACAAGACGGTGTGTTAATCAAAGTGTTACTATGGTTAGCGTTAGCAATTGGAGGCTTTGAACTTGCATGCGTCTTTCTCTTTTGTTGTCTGACATGGAAAAAGTCTAGTAAACGGCGCAACTATGATCATCTCGCGGGATCCAAGTTAAGAAAATATAAATACTCAGAGTTGAAAGAAGCAACAAGGGGTTTCAGTGAAGAGATTGGAAGGGGTGCTGGAGGTATTGTATACAAGGGTGTGTTAAAAGATGGACGAGTTGCTGCAATCACGAGACTCAGAGAAGCAAACCAAATAGAAAATGAGTTTATTGCAGAAGTCAACTTAATAGGAAGGCTTGATCACATGAACTTGATTGACATGTGGGGATATTGTGCAGAAGGAAACACAGACTGTTGGTGTATGAGTACATGGAAAATGGTTCTTTAGCGAAAAACCTCAAATCCAACAAGTTATTTGATTGGAGAAAGAGGTATGAAATCGCTCTAGGAACAGCAAGAGGACTGGCATATCTTCATGAAGAGTGCTTGGAGTGGGTTCTGCATTGCGATATAAAACCTCAAAACATACTTCTCGATTCAGATTATAGGCCCAAGGTTGCAGATTTTGGACTTTCAAAGCTTCAAAACAGAAATGACACCAACAATCTAAGCTTCTCAAGGATCAGAGGAACAAGAGGTTATATGGCACCAGAGTGGGTTTTCAACTTGCCAATAACTTCCAGGGTTGATGTTTATAGCTATGGAATCGTGTTGCTGGAGATGATAACAGGAAAAAGCTTGATGGTTGATGGACCGGATCACTCACTTCATGGGAGGCTAGTCACATGGGTGAGAGAGAAGAAGAAGAACAAAAGACAAGAAGACAAGACATCATCATCAT